CCGACACGACAAACAGGCACCGCTTTTTATGCCGCGAGGCATTGAGCTTGATTGAACTGGATAACCGGACGGCGCAGAGACGACTGTACACTGGGGTCCAATCCAGCATAGCGCGTTGAGCTCTGGGGCTGAGTGCAATTCCCACGCCATATATTCCACGAGTCATCGCTCCTGGGTCACCGGACACACGGAGGGAGAAACGTGAAAGAGCTGAGCACCCAATAAGCTTTTCAGATGGGTTACCAGAGATTCTCCGCCTTCTTTGAAAAGGGCTGTATACAGACCATCCGGTCCTGGTTCTCACGTTTCAGTGCCGATATTTCGCTCTTCATTTCTTTTTCCGACGGGTGATCAAGGTTTACATTCTATTCGCCCGTATGCACTATCTCCAGAGGTTGTGTTGCAGAAGGTCAGCTGAACTGTTCTTCGAAGTGTATGGCCCATTTTTCCAGACGAAGTTTTTGCGGGTGAATAATTGAGCCATCTTTTTCACCTATCGTTTCTCTGACCGTTGCTTTCCTAGGGCCAGTCGATCGTATCAGTTGATATAGGGCACAGCTGTTTCCCGTAACAAAAGCCTTCACCATCTCCCGAGCTTTCGGTCGCTGCACTACAAACTCAAGCCATCCGCAGGCACCATGCTCTCGTGCTCCAACCTTTGGAATAGGATCTTGACATTGACGCTGAAGTGTAGGTCCTAGTCCCCATCCCTGGTATACTACATTACCTGTTGGTAGTCCTTCCGAAAGCTGTCTGTTCACTTCAGTCCTAGAGCGGTAGTACCGCAGGGTTGGCTCTTCAGTGATGTCATTGTGAAGTACTTTTCTACAGCTTGTCGAAAGCCTCATTGAAGTTTATGAGCAAGTTAGGTACTGTAAGTTCTAGCCACCCATTCCTCCGGGACATCGTCACCATCCAACTGCTACGCTTCAAGTTTTCCAATAATACCACTACACCTAGTAGCGGCCATCTGCATAGCTTCCCTCGATCGGTTTCTTCAGTATTCGCATCAAGATCCCTCTCGAGCCATTTGAATTTAAGCCAACAAGCCAGTGTACAACACCACGTACTTTGGATCATAGTTTTTCGAGCCATCAGGATTAGGATAGGGGTCAAGATCATACACACAGTAATTTGGCTTGAGCGCCACCAAAGAGTATTCAGAGAGTCTGAGACCTCCAAATGGGAGCCCGAAAACAACAGCATATGTCAGGCAGTACCCATCATAATTGAGTAGAGAGCCATCAAGGATATCTTTAGTCGAAAAAGATGGAAGAAACAAAGTAGCAGTGGCTAAAGTCCTACAGACTGAAGACACAGGTGTCGGGTTAGTCACTAGGTCCCCCACGGATAAAATTCCAATTTAACGAAGTAGATAAGGATAACGACGGTAGAGGCTCCATCAGTTAACCACTCGCAAGAAGAACGATGACCACACATCGTATGTCGCTGTAACATTACGAGCAACATCGCTTGGGGTAAGACTGAAATCGAAAGACAGGCTGATAGTGCTGGTGTGCGTGAGACCCTTTACAATGTTAAACGCCCTGTAATGCACCACAGACTGCTCACCTTTCCCACCAGCGTGTTATTGGTCTTCATGTTCCGCTGAATACTTAACCGCATCAACGCTCTGTACCGAGGTCACTTCGAACGCTGTAGTCCAAACATCGCGTACACCTTTGTTTCCTTGGTTTTGACTTCAGTCGTCCAAGATATACTGACTGTTATTGATCTTGGACAGTCTTTTTTAATTTTCGAGAGCCCGAGTTGAAACCCACAGCGGGTCGAACCAAAACCCCATAAGGAATCAGCCTGAAATAGAGCTCCGACTTCTTTTCCACTTTTCGGCTGTTGTGTTGCGGATTGATCTTTTCCAACTTTATCGTGCTATTCTTCCGGAAACCTCACCGCCTTATATTTTTATCCCTATTTTTCACATGAGATGATCAATACGTCTCAAAAGTACCGATTGTCGCCAGGTAAATACGCAGATCCAGACGCACACTATCGACTAAATTAGGTCTATCGCCGGAGTAAGTACGAATCCGTGAAGCTGTTGTGCACGAAACACCACCCACGGTAAGGTGTAAAGTACAAGTGTTAAGTGGGCAACTTGCTACACCGAAGCAGAAGTGCTATATCTACTGCTGTCCCGCTCCAGTGCCTTAGCGCCGGAAAAAGACTCGCCAACATGGAACAAGCTTTTTTTGCGAACAAGCGAGTGCAAGTTACAAGGGACCCCGCACTATTTGAATGGCACTTTTCATTGATCCGGGTTGTGGGTGAATTGATTTATTGATTGATTGGCCTGGATGCTTTCCGGCTTCCCTATTGGGATTTTGGTGGAGTTTGAAAGTCTTGGTAGGTTTCGAGCATTGTGGGGCTATTTTGAGGAGCCTGACCCTCCTGAAAAGATACTTAATCACCCAACATAGACGGTGAAAAAGACGGCACCGCGACATGTATCAATGAAGGCGGTGACCCATGTCAGCCTCCTTCTGCCTACTTCTAGATGATGCTGGTAGTTAGTGTCCTTGGTGGGCTTAACCCTGCACGCCTATTTGGTGTAGACCCACCAATAGAGTTGCGTCAGGACAAGAAGACGGTTCTTCAAACGAGTGGTGTGAGTGTGGATATTACAAGTCCTACAACCACCTACAAATGGCCGACGTACTTTATTTGGTGACGGTACAAATGCATCCACCGTATGCGTGTTATCAGATGAACGAGTTTTCTCTGACGCTGATACAACTTACGCACCATTCAGCGTTGTGTAGGCTCAATGTATCTTCATTACACATGCAGGCCAGCGACGGATGTTTCAAGAAACAGAACTTGGTCAACATAGCACTGGATCAAGGGGATTACCACTGCAGTTTCGACGCGTGTGTGGATGGTTCGTTGCCACACACTAGAAACTCCACCGACAATGTTGGCCCTACCGACCCACTTACGAAAAGTGACCTCTTGCCAACTGAGCCTCAGCGGCTAACGAAACCCTGAACATCAACAACTCATTAGCATAAGTACCAAGCTCCATGGTCATCTTTTTATAAGATTCTCAAGATTTACTTGCGTCTTTTTCGCCTTGAAGAACACCTCCTTGCTGCCTTCCCTACCAGTGAATGACGCGGATTTTTCAGGTTCAGTAATCATTGACGCGGATCTACGTACTCCAAAGGAAACTGCTTTTGATTCGGGCCTTTGCGCTGACCCTGCTCTGCAAGCGTCACGGTTACTCTTTTGGTCCTATCGCCATTACGAAAGAAGTGGTACTGAAGTATGTAGAGATGACATTGCCCTTCTGGCTTTGACGGCTGCCTCCGAACAAGAAAACTAAGAATGGCTCAGCTATAACAGCTTTTCGGGGTCACACGGAAGCATGATGGCTGAAATACTGCCAGGTTATCTATATTTAGACAGAAGCAATCGGGATGCCGGACTAAGTTCGAACCACAGACCACTGTCAGCAGCGAGATGGGGCGAGATGGCCCAAGCGGTAAGAGCGCGAATTTACTGAACAGAAGGTCCGTGGTTCGAACCCTACCTCTGCCTCTCGACTTTCCCTGTCTAGGCTTGGACAACCCGGCAGTATCCTATCCCTCGTGCAACCTTTGGGTGGCATGGCAGCTAGGCACCGAAAGGGTGCTACAGCTTAGTGATTTTTTTGTCAGTAGCTTCGCGCCTTAACCACTGATACATCTCTGTACAATTAGCACAGATATATCGGGTTTGTGGGAAGACACGATGTCGCAGCAACTTCAGCCTGTCATTTAAAACCGTTTACACTGTACTGCTAGAGCCAGTTGCTAGAAACTTCAAGACCTTGAAAGTTATGGGAACCCGATGGAATTCTTCTAATATTGCATTTTTCCTGTCTTTTGTCCCCATTGTCGTGCGCGTGGACACCCATCATCATATATTTTCCACACAGACTGACGTCACCACTGTCTCAGACGACGACTAGTCGATGCCTAAACTTTGGTCAGTTAGAGCCAAGGAGGCAGTTACTTCACAGCCGGAACTTTCAGCAGTTGCTGAATCGAATGCTCGTTTGTCTGAGGATAACTGGTTTTAGTAAATCTTACCGAAAAGGCTCCCTTGCACAGAGCCCTTTCGTTTCGTGGAACGTGGATTCGCCATGATCAAGGAGCGGGGGGCTGATCACTCATGCTTCATCTGCGCAGCCACAAACGGTCGATCACTGACCCTTTTGCTGTCTGACTGGCAGTTTTTTCGAGTTATCCAGCTACGTTGTGGAAAAAATCGTTCAGTTGTAGCACCCTGTTGGTGCCGAACTGCCGCGCCACACGGAGGTTGCACGAGGGCTTGGATACTGCCAGGTTGTCCAAGTCTAGGCAGGGGAAGTCGAGAGGCAGGGATCGTGGTCGAACCAGACCTTCCGATCAGCAAAATCGCGTTCTAACCAATTGGGCCATCTTGTCTCCCATTCAGTTACGCACCTGCTGATCGGTACAGTGAAGGTCCATAGTATCTACGCGTCCCACATCAGACCGAATCATGGAAGCTCTCGGTCAGGAAAAGTTAGGTTGACCACGTATTCACGCTACACCGCTTTCGGACGCCACTACAGGTTCCGACCACCTCTCACTACATTGACTTCCGCGCAGTACTTACCTAAGTTAATAGGGAATACTTTCGACCCACTTGAAATGCAAGCCAGATGGGCTTTTGGATGTCAGCAAAAATAGCCCAGTAGGTAGAGTGCGGATTTACTGACCGTAAAGTCCGTGGTTAAGCCCCGACCCTCGAATTTCGATTTCTCCTATCTAGGCTTAGGCGACTTAGCAGCATTCTAGACCACTTCCTTCCTTCTGGTGACATGGCAGCTAGGCACTGAAAGGGTGCTACAGTTGAAAAATTATCTTATATTATTCATACTCACGCCACTCTCGTTTAGACAGTCGTCCTCCTGTCCCGGCGTAATTATTCTGGTGTTTTCACATCAAAGGAGGGAAGCATTGGACGCGATTTTCACTCTTGTTTGAGCTCATCAGCAGTGCGTATCCAATGACCGTGCCGGAGTTTGAACTCCGGACACCCCATGCAACAAAATAGCCCACACTGCAGCTGGATACACACGTCCCTTGAGATTCAGGGAAGGACCACTTTGACGTCATAGGTGTCTCAAAGTAGCAAACGCGACCCAAGCCTTGCAGATTCGTGTATTGACCTCATCTGTCACACTTTCCACATCGTTCTAACTCGGGTTTGTGCTTTCATTGTTTGTTTCACCATTACCACATGTGTACAATTCTACATTGTCACGAACTTCTCCTTCGGCTTCTTGCGCCCCCTTGTTGGTTGTTTTATCGAACGCTTCATCTATCCGCTTTGCTAGGAGGCTAACCCACTCTAACGTCATACATGATTCCCCACACATACAACACTGCAAACTAATGCTACCCACCTTTATATTCAAGTTGGAACGGCGTATTACGCCAGCCTTCTGACAGGGGCCATCTAGTGGTAGTTAAATCGCACACAACCTGACACACCTGCACTCGGTGTTACGCCACCGAATGTTGCATTTGAACAAACATTTTGATTCAGCATTTTGTGGGTAGTTTTCACCTTACAGTGAATATTTCCACCTTCGGCTTGATATGTGAACCGAAAGGCGTGATGATAAACGGACAGGCCGCGAGGATAAATCATAACGATATGGGATGTGCGTCTTCTATCCTCTGTAGTGCGTTATCGTAGGCTCGCCGAGTCACTGTTCACATACAAAACATTATAAATCGGAAACTGTCAATGAAAAATTAAAACTTTTAAAAAATTAGCAGAATGGTATATGTATGTTACACGGTACAGCTAACGGCTTTGGTGGTTTTTACCTTTGATATTGTCCAAACATGGCGTTCGGTGGTGAGTTCTCATGGGTCAATTCTAGGTTCCGTTCAGTTCGATTCAGCAATCGGATCCGTGCACCTGAATCCTCTGACGACTAGACTAGCAACGAAAATGAGATACTTGAGATAATCCCGGGTCGCTGTGCTGAGCTTGAAGCATTCACATTCCTCGTGGACTACCCCGGCATACGCAATGAGATCTTCAGTATCCTTCTTGATGATGTTGACGCGTTGACTGCGAATATCGAACAAGGAGCTCACCGAATATCTGGGTCAAGACCTTGTCGGTATCTGCGAAGCCAAAGTCATGAGGGAGTTTGGGGAGTATGAGATCTGTGAAGCGATCGGTTCGGCTGTCCCCAGTTCCCGCCGTAAGAGTCGAAATTCCGATTTATCTTGTTCAGCGACAGTGAGCGCTTTAACATTGAAGGGCCTCTTATCGTGTCTCCACGGTGTATTAGTAGGCCCAACAGCAAAATTATCCGCAAAACCTTTCTCAAACAGAGCGCAGTCAATTATCAAGTGTCCTTGGAGGTGATGATAGTCTAGAAGAAGGAGATCAAAAATGGACAGACGCGTTTCATGGTTGAGATTTCAGACCAGAAGCCATCTTCGTAGCAGCTCGTTGAACACGCTCAACGAAGGTTGCGTCTTTACCGAGCCCTGAATAGACAATGTAGTTAGCGTACGCTTCGTGGTGTTTGGAAGTTCATCCCAGTGGTACGAGAGTGCGTCGAAGCATCCGAACAACGAACGCCCTCTAAGCCGTCCTTTAAGAGTGAGAAAGGCAGTCTTGGAGACAGCCGGATACCTAAGTCCTTTTTCGTATTCATTTTCATACCATCTTCTGGCTCATTCTCAGCATGCACAACGCCCCCCCCCCAAATGACATATAGGCACATTCTCAGTCATTTGAAGGTGCCATTCAAGCGACCCTTGCTTTGCTGCATCGATATCCATTGGAAGTACGCTGGCTTGAGAATTGCAAGAGTTCACGTCGGCAGAAAGTAGACAGACTCGAGAACGTGACGGAAAGGCTGTCAACGCAGATCAGAAAGAACAATCCTATAAGGGATTCTTGAATAACACCTATGAAGGCTGGTACAGAAGAGACATAGGTCGGTCCTGCTTTCGTAATGTCCCAGTGGAAAGGAAAACCATGGGCCTCGGGCTTTTGGAACAGTAGGACGCGTGGAACTACGTTGGATACTTTTGGAATATGGCGTTGAGTGGGTCAGGCTGTCCGTGAATACCAGCAAATCTGTCACACAAGAGCGCCTTGGAGAGTATTCGGGTTGAGCCGTGGATATCAGATTGTTGGTGATGAGGTAATTTAAAATGGCCCTCTTCAGAATACCTCCCACTGACTTGCACATGGAGCTAATAGACCTGAAGCCGGGCAATAAACGGACACAGGTTTTGTAAATTGGTTTGAAATTAGGATGGTTGCCTTCGCGAGCGACAGACGGAAAATCAAGTGGACATGTTTGGCCAAGTTCACTAAGGTTCTTCCTCGGATCCTCCGGTTCAGCTTATCCGGCCCAAATGCGTTGAAGTCATTGGTCTCGTCCCTGTCGTAAATAACATGTCGGTTGGAAGCTGTCTCTTAAGGGATTGAGCAACTACTCAATCTTCCCAAGGTTAAATGCGACTGAGTACGTGGACCAGCTGGTCCACCTACTCTAGAGTACAAAACAGCATGGTGTTCACCGTACAACTGGGCTATAACTTTTGGGTCGTTCATGGGTTTAGCTTTCTTGCCCCACTCCCCCACCCCCAAAGAGAAGTCTGTTGGTTGTTTTTTGGGCAGTGATGAACATACCCAAGTACACTCGGGTACCCGCAATACTTGGTGCAGGTTCGACCCCTTGAACAAGACATAATGTCGCGGTCTGTTGTGGCAATTTCAGTTGGGATATTGCTGCGCCGACTTCTGGACCGACACCGCTTTACTGCTACTCCGAAAAAGCCTACCACACACGTGACTCGACAGGGGATCGGCCGCTAGCCAGCCCAGCATCAAGGCGAGTTCTGATTGGCCAAAAGCCTGGAACCAGCAGCCAATCATGACCCGGCATGTCACGGATTCACTGATCGAAACTTGCCCAAGTTTCCCGGGTCGCTTTTGTTCTTGTCAGTCAGCGGCTGTCGTTCACCTGAAAGGCACAAGTGAAAAAACGATGTAGCGCTGCTCTTTATGTTCTCTGCGCGGGGTAGTATGCTTGTCAGCGCGAGGATTCGCATAAATAAATGTCTAATAGTGCCTTAAATTGGGTTCCAGGAGCGTGAACAACCGTCGGAGGAAGGTCATT